CACAAGATGGTGGGGCAATAGCACTGCTAGAAGAAGGAGATATAGTGCATATTAATTCGAGCACAAAATGCATAGAAGTTCTTGTTGACAAGAACGAGCTTGAAGCGAGAAGAAATAAGCTTGTCCTACCCAACGAGCTCTTTACAAAGGGTGTTTTTAAGAAGTACTATAATTCTGTACAATCTGCAAGCAAGGGTGCTGTAACCAGCTAGATGGCATAGCACTAACTAACTACTAGCACTATACACTAACTACTATAAATAGAGACATCTGTATGTTCGTGTATGACTTCTGCTGCAGGAAAATAATCCTTGTTTTTTTCCTCTGTTACAGTATGTATTATTAAACGCTTACTTGCACCAGGTGCGTAAAAGAAAGCGCGTCTAAACATAAAGATAGAAAGATAGGTGAAGGATAAGCGGTAGTACCCCGCAAACTCCTGTTCTGTTTCAAACACATACTGTGAATTCGAGGGGTTCTTATGCTCGCCGCTGTTGGGAAAGATAGACGCTGTATGCCCATCCTCTGTGCCTACTCCGAGTACACATACTGCGGGTATATACTGATATAAATTGCGAAAATAATGAGATATTTGCTTATTGTACGCTTCAAGAGAATGAGCCTGCTCTACTTTTATGGGAAAAAATTTAGCTCCTTTTAGGAAAAGCTCTGTACACGTACTCAATATCATGCTTTGGTTGCTGTCGGGGTGATTAGGTTGGACTATTCTTTCATCTACCTGAAGTACATATATTCTCTTCGCAAGCTCTTGTGGTATTTTTCCCGAAAAACTACTATAAAGTGTACGGGGGCTGGTGCCGCCAGATAGAGCGAGGAGCATAGTTCTATTATTATTTTTAGCAAACTGTGAGAATGATGCTATCATATCATCAACTGCTTTATTTTCTAGCTCACTTTCGCTTTCTTGTGTAATTAATTCCATTTTTTTCTCTCTCTTTGTATAATTTCATGCATTTTTTCTGGTCCCTCTGAACCTATTGGGTATGTGTACAGAGGTATGTTACTTGTTGAATGCCACTGCTCTAGTATTGAATCAGTGAATTTCCACTGTGCAAATAATTCACCACTGGAAAGAAACAAAGATGAATCATTAGACATAGCAC